CCCCCGGACGATACTGACTGGTTCCCTAGGCCTATCAAGAGAGTCAGCCGCTCATGAGATTAATTTCAAGACCTTGTTTCATCTCATTCCATACCATAATTCTCTGATTTAGTCTTGATTTTGTATCTTCTAACTGATCTTTAGTTTCTTTGAGCTCCTTGGCAAGCCTCTCCTCACTAAAAGACAAATCACCGACATATGAACAGGTTGAAAAACTTGAAAACAAATCACACCTTGTTCATGAAGAAAAAGACCATATGTTTAAAAAGGTAGACAAGTCGATGTTTTCTCGAAGGTCAGCCGATAGTCGAAGCACCCTTGACAAACTGTCAGTCGCCATCGAACGACTATCAGTAAAGATATCGATCAACCATCGTCACCGTATCGACTGACCACCGACCGACTATCGATCGATATATTGACCTAAACATCGACCGAAGTTGTTTATAGAAAACGTGATCCACAGAAAGTAGGGTAGATTACCTTGAGTGGACGTCTTTTATCAGCTTCGCTTTTTCTCGTTGCCACAAACTCACAGTTCCCTCGCGTTGAAGCCTAGAAGAAATTTCGACGAGACATGAATATCATCAATGAACAGGCCAGGGCTAATTCGAAGAAAACTCAACACGATGCCTCAGCAAATGTTTTTAATATAACGTTAGAAAAAGTATATTCCTACAAGAGCGAAAAAATAATAATAACAACACAGACAAACTACCTAAAGGCCACTGAAAAACGAAATTAAAGAAAACGATGAAAACGAAGCCACTCACTAAATGCTGAGGATAACTGGCGTGGTGGTTGGAGACAACAAACTATATAACTAAATTTACATACAGCAGGTAACAAAGGAGCGTAATTAACAAAATACCGATGAACGAAAGAAGAAAAAAAAGTACACGATGACAAGTAAGCGAGAAAACGGAAAACAAAGGAAAAAATTTGCCCAAGCAATCAATTACTTAAAAGTATCAACGTTCCAACCTCAGCTCGCATCGCTCGTCAGCTTTAGCTCAGGTTCGAAATTTCTTTTTCATTTTAACCCGCATCATCTTCTCATCAGTGTGCTTATTCTGCATACTGCTCCCTATATATTTCCTATGGTACTGACAACGGGAATTTGTTTGACTTTAACAAGCATCTGTAGTTTGTAATCACTTTTCTTGTTCTCATGACCTTGATAAATTAATTTAGAAACGTTACTAATTTATATAACTTACTGTTGAATTTGCTTTCCTCTTTCTTCCAGTTGCTCCTCCAGCTTTCTGCAAGTCGCCAAGACTGTGTTTTTCTCCGCCACAGCGTATTCGTGCCTTACGAAACAAAAAGGACTCGTATCAACATTTAGTTCAGCCATTTGTTTTAAAAAACGATGTCCTGGTGCATCAGCTTGTTGAAGAATCCTTTATAGCTTAGAAAGTTTGTTGATACTTATTTATCTTACAATCCTTTATGGCGAGGGGCATTGAGGAAGTAAGTAGTAATATTTTAGACTTAATACAGTGATACTTTGTCATGACGTCATGACCACTTAAGTCATTCAAGTGAGAATTAGACTAGACCATCCCCCTTTCGTTACTTTCGAAAAACTCCTGCTTCAGGAAAGATAGTCTGCTCCCTAGTCCGATGGATCATGAGGCGATATCTGTAATGACTAAGAGTACTGCGTCTATTGCTGCTTCCAGGGGAAGATAAGAGATCAGTCCATTTCCGGTTACCCTCCCCCTCCCCTCTTAAACGTTTCTTCAGGCTACCCTAGCAGTTCATTCGTTCTCATTTACAGTCCTGGGTGAAGGGAAGTATTGTAAGAGCGAAACGTCTCTCCCCAGACCTCTCGATTCGGAGTCGAACGAGCGAACCGTTAGGGGTTAGCTTCTCCTAACAATAGGGGTATATCATCACCTCTCGGAAAAAAAATCAACATTTTCAGCCCCCTTTACTCACTTTTGCTGCTGATGCATCGATTCAGCCTGTTCGCGTTGAAAATCCACTGCAATAGGTAAATTAAAAGAGATTTTTCAACAAAACAGATTACTAAATGACTCTGAAGAAGGTCTGTGTTACCAAGGTTAGATCATAATCTTTAAACTTCATAATATCTCTACGTTGTCAAATTCACGTTACGTGTACCAACTCAATGGAGAAAACCAAATAATCAATCGATAAGGAGCACTGAATAATTTTGAAAATGTAATGTAAAACAATAGCTGAATGTTTCATTTCACCCTTTCTAATCATCAACACATATTTTGCTCTGTAATAAAACAAATGCGATTAAGGTGTAGATGAAACAAGACAGCCTAAAAAAACACAGCTCTTTAAATATCAATCGATAACATAAATTAATATTTTCCGAACGCAGTTTTGTGTGCTGGCAGATAAACTGCTTCCACGGTTTGGCATGTTCCACATTTCGTTGGATATGGGCCTCCGCTTGCAAACTTCGCCTCAAGTTCCTCTGCTTTAAATCAGAAGTGTTAACAGAAACTGCCGGGTGAATTTCTTATCCGCCTATCGCAAATATAACAACACGAAAGCAGCTATTGCCATTCACCAACGTTAGATTGATCCTATAAACCTGGACACCATTCCTTCATTTCACCTCGAAAGTTGCCACCCCGAGAACCTGGCCTGAATTGATGTGCGAAACTCAGAACGAAGTATGTAACAAAGAAAAGAGGAGATAAAAATGAAAACTCACGTTTCAGTTTCATGTTTTCCTTTGCGAGCAGTTGTTCAGCTTTAGTTTTCTCCTATAAAGCAGAAAAGACAGGGTACTTACCAACTGATGGGAGGGTTTTTATTCTTCTTTCTTCTCATGGGCCGTGCGGCTTTTTGCGGCCTTATTCGCGCCACCACATAGAGAAATTTTAGGGGATCTTTTTCTAATAATATTTTTAATGAAAGCGGGGGCGCGGGATTTTATGGTAAACGTTGCAATCATACATTTTAAAGAACGTTACTGCTGGAACACCAAATGAATACAAGGGCAAGATGCATCCTCTTTCGAGAATAAAAGAAAAAAAGAGGGAGGTGTATTTTTAACAGGCTTCTTTCCCTTCCGCCCTCCCTTAGGATCTTCGGCTTTGAATCAACAGAGAGCTTAGTTTTTCCCTCTGATTTTCGCCGTCTTGCTCTAGATTGAGTACGTTCGCATTAGATAGGAATGCGGTTTTCTCCTTATCTCCCTAACAGATATCTTGAGGATCACAGGAAAAAACGAGGCAGTCTTAGATGTTTCTTTTTAGACTCTTACCTGTATATACTGAATGATACTGTTTTTCAAATTTTCCAAATCTTGAGAAACATGATTGACATACTGGATGTAAAATTTATCTGAAAACAGGAGGAGTGCATGTTAACAGAAGATTAATCAAAAAACAGTATAGAACCTTGAAACCTACGGCCGATTACCAACCACTGTTCGGGAATATGAGCCCGCGCTCTTACCCCGTGGAGGAACAAAGCTTGGACAGGAGAGCGACGGAAATCGAACCTATGTGGAACCGCTTTACATAAAGTGTTAGGTAGAACGTTCCGCCTACCGTATTCTTGTACATCTTTCAAATTTTCCTCGAAAAGGTCGATCTTTTGAGGCTCTTTCTACAAATGTAAGAAAAAAAGCGGGAAAAATTTTTTTTTCGCAGAACACATAAACTGAAGTTTGATGATTCAGTTTTTCACTCTGCGGAGCAACGGCTATTGCTCTTTGGTTGCTGTTGATAATGATGATGACGATAATGATGATGATAATGATAATGATGATGATGGTAATGATGATGATAATGATAATGATGATGATGGTAATGATGACGATAACGATAATGATCATGATGGTAATGATGACGATAATGATAATGATGATGATGGTAATGATGACGATAATGATAATGATGATGATGGTAATGATGACGAAAACTATAATGATGATAACGATGTTCGAGTTGCTTTTGCTTTTTTGATGACAAAGAGAATTCCTAACGTCTCAGTCGCGTCGTCCTTTTTATCAAGTTTAAGGTGACTATGGTAGCTTGGTTAGAAAACTCTCAGAATGTGGGTAGTGCTGAAGTAACTTCCACTGACACCTTGTTTATTTGGATTTCAAGTTCAGGCAAGACCACTGATCCAAATCTTATTTAAACTTATGAAATCACGTCGGTTGTACATTATCACTTTATAAAACGATCTTACATAGTACATTTGTATTGGGAGCCTTGTTTGTAAAAGGAAGGATAGGGGCATCAGAAAATCTTCATTCATTCGTTTGTCTGTCTGTCTGTCTGATAGACCATCACAGTCTGTGCGTCTGGTTGTCTATGTATGTACTTCTGTATGTATGTAGGTGTATAGTTCTGTCTCTTTTTAAGCCTGTCTTTTTTCTATCTTTCTTTCACGTTATGTCTAAAGGGAGTAAGTTTCTAAACAAATTGTGATACTGCGTCACTGGGGGAATGACAAGACAATCGGATGTATGTACATCATCATCATTTATACACGTTCGCGTTTTGAGCGAGTTCTTAGCTCCTCGACGAAACGTGTTAAAATAAATGATTGATTGATCGATGTCTGTCTGTCTGTCGGCCTTTCTATCTGTCTGTCACAAAGTCAGTCCGTCTATCAAAAGTTCCGTTCGGTCTATCTGTCTGTCCATCTGATTATATTTAACGGTTCGTTATTGCATATTCCTTTATTCGTTCGTCCAGTATTTCTTTATTTATCTTTTTAATATGTTTACGTACCTCAAGTTGTTGTTGAAGGGTTTTTAGCTTCTCGATTTCCTTCAGTAGATAAAAGAATTATGTTAGTTCTTTTTTCTAACAACGGTGAGGATGAGGTGCTTCAAAAAAATCTACCCCCTGTTGAAAGCAACGCGCAGATTGCCGTCAAATACTGTCATCAGTGCTTTGCGAAACGAGCCTTGCAATTTTAATGCAACTTTCGGAGAAAGATCTGGCAACGTCCTGTCGTTAAAAAAATTCAAAACTTGTATCCACGAGACAATTTATTTACTGCATAACGAGCGGGGAGTTTGCTTTTCTTGCAAAATAACTTGTGAAAGATTAAGATATAAGGAAGTTTAAGTGATAGAAAGGAATCAGTGATAAATTATCCCAAAAAATTATTTGCAATTCCACCACCTTTGGTCTGTACGGCTATTTAAATAATTAACCCCCCATTAAGAAATTTAATTTGATACGTAGATATGACCATGATAATTGCCAATTACATGAGAGATTTATTGATTCTTAATTGACTTCTACTATCAGAACTATTAGCTACTAGAATAGATCACTTTGAAATGATGTTAAACGAGAAATTTCCATTTTTCAATTGATTTAAAAAGTTCACAGACTTGTTTTTGATCAGCGATCATATGATGATTTAAAACAACGAATATTGTCCCGTGATGTACCGACACAATAGAACGTTTGAACAACGAAGGATGCAGAGATCTTTCTGTAATTTGCCTATAGAAATTCATGCATAAAGATTCAGTATCACTGGGTCAATCAGTAATAACAGTTTTGCTCAAATAAAACTTCTTATGGTTAATCCGCAAGGCGATCGTTTTACACAGCAGCAATAATCCACGGTGCCGCAGGGAGATTATTTTGATAAACTAGAACCGCAGAACGCTGAGATTATTGGAGCATGAGAATGAACGAATTTTCAAGGTTTTCTTGAAGAGAATTTTTGGAATCAATTCCGAGGTTATAAAGTGTTCCTACGATTTTCGATTTCTGCACTCTTATCCTTGTTCATATGTGATAAATCTTTCTCAAACTGACTGCCTTATGGCAAAGATTTGCTCTGAGATCTAGCTAACTTTGTTCCACTGTGGTTAATTCGATTCAGTTAATGTTCTTTAAACGTTTGTGACACAGGAAATTGCATGGCCTTACCAAATCGAGTCTTCTCTTTGCTGACTCACTCGTCGGGTTGTGATTGAACTCGATGACTTTATCAAACAGATCAAACATCTGAAAGAAAGAACACATGAAACAACAGTTGTTAAATCAAGACATGAACTGTTGCTGCCAGCTCATGGCTCATTTGTATCCGGCGATAAAAACCCTTTGCAATTCGTGCATCGCGCATGTTGCATAAACATACCTCGCTCAGCTTCTCACCACAGAGAACAAGGAAACCGAAGAACTTCTGCATTGTGGGATTCTGAATCAATCAGCTCTCAAAAATGTGCAAGAACTGAATCAAGTTTCCATGTAGAAAATATTTGTTTAGCAGACAGAACTTCCATGGCGACATGGAAATGTAAATTACGAATAGTTCTTGATCTTCCTTTTTTTAACAGAATAATTTGCAAGGTACCCGTAGGAGACAATACAAAATCCCTGCAGGCGGTCATTCGGACAATGCTACCGAAATCGCTTACCACAAAGACAAATAAAGATATTGAAATAAGGCTATTAGTTATGATTTCCGGGATTCGTAAGTACCGGTTTAGTGAAAATCAGCGGGAAATCGATACATTTAAAATACGCTATACGTTTTTTAAGATGGAAATTTGGAGTGTATTTATGTATTCAAAATGGTTCAACTTTGATTCAGTTAATATTCCAAAGCTCACCCAACTTTAATAAGCTTGCATTTTTATCCCAAAAATTTCGTTATCATTTAATTTAACTGCAAGCTCAGATTATTTCTGACTCAAACGGTACATTTGTTTATTTTTAGGCTTTATGTGGGCATAATTCAATCTTAGTGATATGCACTCTTACAGATAAAGCATCGTTTTAATTCGATTAGTTCTCTCAAAACAGTGCAAAGCTCGGCAAATCGCCTTGTAGTTCATATATTGTCAAGCGAATTTTTACCTTGTTAGTTTTTCAATATAATATAAATAATATGACCAGAAACCCTCTCCCAACCTGACCAATTTTTCCCTAATAGGCCGCTTCTAGTGACCTACCCTTTTGGATTTTTTTGGTAGAAGGGGTAAAATTTTACAATAGGACGAGAGGAGTATGAGAAAATATCATTTATTGTTCGGTCTGATATTAATAGCTCGTAGTACGGGCTCACATGCAGTTAACAGCTTGCAGTCAAATGGTTTCCCTGAACGCGAATCAGTTGTATACAGTCACGCTTATTATGACTTGTTATTCTTTGATACTTCACCTAGCAACGAGCGATTGCTAGAGACTTTTTAATCGTATTTTTCTTTGACGTTTCGAAAGATTAGTTAGAGCTTAAAAGATAAAGAGGCATAGAGCCAATTGTTAATTAGTGCTTTATTTACGCAGGCATTTTACACAAACCTATATCAGCGTTCACTGACATAAGCACCGGCGAATTCTACATGAAACCTAACCGTTTTGGTTGGCCTTGCGAGAGTTAAAACAACAACGAAAGTCAACGATCAATGTTTACCCGTAAACAAACAGTTAGGTTTGAAGATATTTTATCTCCTTGTTCAAACACGTCAAAGAGAATCGAAGTCACACGCGGTTCAATGATGAAGCGTTTTGATGAGAAATTTTTCTTTTCGCGAAAATGCCAAATGAATGAAGTTGAAAGCCATTTTCAGAGTTCACGTGCAGTTCAAGGTTCTCACAAAATTTTGAATTTTCCTTTAAAAATTTTGAATTTTCCTTTAAAAATCTTGTTTTAGCTTCAACACGATAAAGTGGACGTGATCGAGGCTCTTCTAATCAATCTCGAGGGAAAAACGAAAGTCACGATCGTGAAAATTACACTTTAATTTTACGCTTCTAATTCATTCAAATAGATCTTTATGTTTCCTCGTTTCCTAGGTAATAAATGACTCTCTGTTCGAAGACTTATCATCTGTCACAGAAAATTTTCGTGTACACGCAAAACAGAATTCGCAAAATTTTCTCTCTGAACGATATCTCAAAAAGCTAAATCCGTATTGCACATAAGACTTATACGAAACAATGTTTTTTTCCTGTCCTAGAACAACAGATTTTATACAGCAATTAACACTCATTTAGACCTCTCTTGACTTCGGTTGCGATCAGGCGTCAAAGGAAATCATCTCGAGTTTGATTGCCGACGCTTTGAAATAAAATCTAATTGGACTATAGGTTTAGTTAATGTATTTCCGATAATCCATGGCCCTTTTGCGTTGTTGCAAATTATCTTAGCTTCACAATCCTCAGATCTATAGATAATCGAATAATTGCTTGATCTTACATGAGTTTGTGTTGGCTGACTTCAGAAAGCTTTCAGTGGAGATAAGACGGTTTTTAAAACAAAGTTTTCGGCACACAGCCGGGTAACTTTGCTGATAAACTTTTGAATGGTTCAGAGCGGATTCAGCAAAGCGCTCAATTACTATAAATTTATTGAACGCTACGAAAATTACCTTCGCTACTCGTATTTTCATCTCTTTCGTCTTCTTCTTCATTTCAACCGACGAAGCGTCATCCTGTGACATATCATTATAAACAGACATTGTAGTTTACGAAATATTCAATAAAAAAGAGCATTCAAGTCGAGCGCAGTTTTGCCGTAACCCGGTGAGCGAACACAATTGGCTGCATTGTTTACTGTACGATGCGAGCGACTTGAACACCGAGTCCAATATATGTTACTTACCTTAGAAGGATGACCACGAGCAATTGTACTCATTGTAAATCCGTATAGAGGCTTAAGTTTGTTTCATCTTTTCATTTTGCTTCGCCCTTGAACAATGTCGCCAAATTGTCGTGTTTGGGTAACCGTAAGCTAATGTTCTCACACAAGGCGAAGAAAAACGTTGCAATGAATAAATTTCTCCATTTTGCTCAAATGCTCGTAAGTCGAGCAAGCTGACTTTGAATTGTTTTCCTATTTGAATTTTCCGTCTCCTTGTGTAAACACGAGGCAATTTCCTCTTAGAAACCGCATGTAGTTATTAACTACACTGAATATTTAAAAGGGTATGACAGATTGAGTCAATATTCGCTTCCTCAAAGGACCTCTTCCGTACACGGGTCATTAAAATTCATTTATTCTGCTTTGGTACAAAACAATCTTTTGTCTAACAAGTAATAAAGAATTGAAAGAAAATTAATGAGTTTTGTGATTGTCTAAGTGAATAAGGTCAAGTTTAGTTCATATGTTGCGAAAAAATTCATAACGTCGATCATCGAAACTTGGTCTATGGTTTTAAACTGATGAAGGAGATCTGTTCTGTGTGCGAATTGTTTTTAAATTGAGACATGAGAAAAGAACACAACAGCCTAATGTGAAAGGTTATATTTTCTTGTCAAGCAAATTTGTGCACTAGGAGAAAATAATCACTAAAATGATTGTCTTTCAAACATTTTTTTCCCTTTGGACAATGCACGAAGATTGGCACTTTTAACATCAAACGATTCTCTTATCCATTAAAACGAATTTACATGAGCTCAGGTCAAAATAAAAATAGAAAAACAGAAATTATCGAAACCGGAATGTTTAGAGCAGCTGAAATAAAAATCATTAAAAAATAGGAATGAGATAATCCGCAATACAATTCACCTTCCATATGGAAACATTTAATATCAAAGACCCCATTCGGCGCATAATCGTTCTTGAATTTTCCGGACAAATGAGAGTCGATTAATTTCTTCATTGGAAAACTCCGAATGTCAGCGAATAGACGAACGTTTTCTAATTCAGGTGTTAGAGGTGTCGGCGACGGAATCTCGCTGTGGCGAGGGCCTTTTGATATTTTAACCCCCCCCAGTCACTACTTCCGGCTGAAGATGCCGACTAATAGATCGGAAAACTCCGACTGTCGGACGAATAAACGAACACGTTACGGTTCATTTTGAGGGGTGTCCATGAAGATGTTTAGGAAGCAGTTACGTAATTGGGCCGAGGTAGAACGAGGTAAAACGAATCAGAAAACGCTAGAAAATTGACTGCCGATTAACTACCAATAAGGTGGGGGGGTGGGGGGGGGGGGGGGGGAATCATTAGAATCTTGAAAATTTCTTACTGAAACAACCAAAATGCTCTGACCCTTGCAGGCGAAAGAAAAATTACCGGTCCCTTCGAGGCATTTCAAAGAGCGCACTTTCGTCAAAGATTTTCGTAAATCCAAGATTGTATCACTTTTGAGCAATGGACTTAAATTTAAAACCGTGGTCACCATGAGATGCCGACCGCAAACTTGTCTTGAATGCTAATTTACACGCGGTTTTATTTTATATCTAAATGCAATTACTAAATCAAATGCGACTTGTTGCAATTCCCTCTCTCAATTTTCACTCGTCATTTAAATTGGAATATCAAAGACAGATTTTGGCAGATTTTTGTTTTGTCTAATTGCATTCGATCTTAAAAAAAATTTATTCAGTATTGCATCAAATACAACAATCATATTATTTACCCAAAATATCGCAATTAACTCCTTCAACTTAAAGAATGAAAGAAGTGTTTTCTTTTCCACTGCAGATAACTTAAATTTGTTTACAATTCAAATTGTATCTCCTCAAAAAAGTCTGGCAAATATTAGGTTGAACACGGCAGAATTTTTTTCAAGGAAGATTAAAAAAGTCCGATCGAGACAGCACATCGAGGATCTCATTTTTGCCTTCTGTTTTAAAATACGAGCAAGCCGATAGAAAGGAAAAGGACTTGTTTCTTATAACTCGACATATTTAAGTTTAGAAAAAATTTGGGATACAAAAAGAATTAGTGCAAGAATCATGAAAGCAGAGTTTTCTGGATCGATCGAAGATTGTGGAATGTCTTTGTAGATAAAGTCATCCGCAAACAGCCGACAGCTATTGCAAATCAATTATTGTCTTATTGCTTAAAGCTGTCGGCTTTGGGTTAAATTGATTAAGTATTAGAAAAAGCTTGAACATTTCATTTAAAAACGGTTTTAAATAAATTTTTTTTTTTTTGCTTTAAAGCGCTGGGTTTGGAGGTTTCTTTCGAAATTTAGGCTACATTATATTTAAGGAGGAAAAAATTAAATATATTTGTCAAAATTCACTTGACATTTTCAAGCAGGTGAATTGGAATTACTTTGTATTCTGCATGGATGTTTAAATGAATCAACGTGCGCCGCAAAAAAAAAAAAATACTTAGCAAAATTGAGGTTTAAAATTGGCTCAATTCTTTCGTTTCATTGCTTGCGATCAACTCCATGGGGCAATTATCAAAACAATGATTAAACAACTGTTTGTTATGCAACGCCGTCGCAGACCTCGACAGTTGCAAAATGTCCTGAAAAAACTTTGCATTGTATCCTCCTACGATCTATTCATCGACTGTTTGTCGCGAACTTTGAGCTCAAGACAACACCCACCTTTGAGATGTGACTTAAAGATGTTTTTATGTTCTCCTCGTGAAAATACCCTATAACCTTGGAAAATTAAACTCCTCAATTTACATCAAAATAACTTCACGGGGAATACTACTATGCAACTAATAAATTATTTTTGCAATAAGCGTGGAAACTATCCCTTAAGATAGGATAATATTATTTGTCAAAAACCATTGGAGTTTCTAAGCGCTCCTTGGAGGTAGTTCATTAATATTTTTTTGTGAAGGAGACTTCCCGCGGACACTCGTTCAAAACATACAATAAATCCTTTTTTTCAATTTTTGTCGGTCGTAATCGCCGTTTTAGGTAACATTTGAAAATGAAGCTTCTTAGTCTAAACCTTTCCGTACACTTAACTTGAATTTACAACGAAAAGTATTGGAAACATTCAACTCCTGCGACCAAAATAGAAATCTTGCCGTGTTATTGTATTCTTTAAACGGTTGCTTTCACTCACTGTGATACTTGAAGTCGGATAATTCAGTTTCATTACACCTTGAACAATCTATCTTTCACAAACTCGAATTTCATCAACTTTTACAGCCAGTTATACACACTAGCCAGGTAATTTCTGGCGTCTGTGACATAATAAGCTTTTACAGGACCGTAATATATTAAAAAATAACGCGAATAGAGAAAAATTTAATATATGTCTCAGTACTCGCTTCCTCCTGACGGCTTTGACAAACTTTCCATCATGAGCCATTTCAGAAATTTTCTCCAAAGTCCACGGTCTTCATTTCAAGATTTTTTACGGAAACGATGAAATATCATCCGAAGAAATATCGGTTCGAGAACAAATGATCGAAAAAATTCTGAAGCTATAGCGAACCTTTGGCTGTTCCCTCGGATGGAGAATCCTTGTTCGCTTCCACAGTTTTTGGATCCCTCAATTTTTCTTGCTTTTCATGCAACCTTGTCCTCCTTGTTTGCAAAGGATTTTTTGCTCCAGCTTCTGGCAAAGAATGCTGCTTCTTTACACTGGAATAGAAATGAAAACCTTCGCTTTTTGGCCCGTTTTCAGACGACGACGGTGAACTTGGAGACTCCGGTTCGCCGGCGCACGATCCATGGTCTGTAGAATTTGCTCGTTCATACATCCTCCTCCGCTGAGCTCGGCGAATGTAAGACAACATCACTGCTTGATTCTTCAGCGATGGAAAGACGGGATGGTCTTGCTTTTGTATCTCCGTCAAAATTGATATAATATCGTATTGCGAATAATCACAAATTATGTTTTGGGTAAAAGGTTGACTTTCTGAATAATAATGAGGTAAAAAAAAGAATAAATCCCTTATATGGTCATTGCTAAGTTCATTAGTATTCAAGACACATTTGCTTGCAAGTGAAATTAGTTTGCACGGATGTCCTTAAATTCTTCTTTTTCCCAAAGGGGAAGAAACTAATCGAACAGTCACGAGAAACTTTGAATTTGTACTCTGTAAAAGCTACAGAAACATGACAACCACAGCGCAGAGAGAATTAAGAAAAGCAATTAAACCAAATTGAAAAATTTTAAAATTTTTGTTGTGGCAAATGCTTGCGTACCAAAAAACATGTTTGTGTTCAAATGCGATATCGAGCTCTTTTTTTTCTTTACGTTTTTTTCCCCCCTGATTAGGATGGCTCTTCGTTAGCGGCGGAAATTAGTTTGAAAGCGTATACCCCATCGCTCTAAAAAGCAAATGAGCTGGAAAATAACTTCCACCTGTTTCATCATATCAAATACGCACTAAACTTCATTCTACAGATCCATCCACAGAGCTAGCTTTCAGGAAAAAAAAAGGGATTGTCTTAGAAAATTTCCTGTCGTAATAATTCAAATATCTTTATTTTATTTCATATGCTCTTTGCCTTCCCTTTCTTTCTCGTGTTACTTCAACTGATCAAAATGCAGCACGTTTTCTGGAGTGCCAACTCATCAACTCAACAAACCTTTCAAGTACTCAAGGAAAAATTGATTTTAAAGAGCTGTTTGGGTTGCAAGGTGTTGAGTTTCCTTAAAACTCCATTTAGCATGAAGAATTTTCCTCTTTTATTATCTAAAAGAAGCTGATTGCTTCATCCGTGCCTTTTAATCAATGTTTTTACTTTTTGTTTTTATCAAATGAAATTTTGATATTAAAACTGCAACTTACGAGTTGCCAATACGAAGGGAATGACACAAAAAATTGGAGATAAAACAGATTAAAACTTCTAAAAATGTCGTTTTGTCACGAGCTTGCGTAAGGACATGTCTGTGAAAATACTGAAAGCTTCTAGAAGTACGTGATAGGAAACAAGATTGAAACAATTGCTCTCTCGTCGAATTAGTCGTAAATTTTTTAATGTTATGGAAGATGAGACAGAATCTTAAACCCAGACAGCATCATGCGTCATGTCTACGACAAAGAAAATAGCTTCTATCAGACAGAAGGAAATATCAGTTATAATGTGATATAATTAATAGAAAATAGCGGCAGATACAAACGAGAATCGATACCTAGATATTAATTGAAAATCAAAGGGTGAGATAAGGAACATTTGAACTGGAATTGAATATGTACGCCAAGGATATGAAAGCTTTATAGGAAGGGAATCGAGTGCACTCTTTTTATTAACAT